AAATACTAATTTGGTACCTCAACTTCTAAGTTTGTATCAAATATACCCTCAAAATTTTAAAAAGTTTCAAAATGGTCCTTGAAAGGACCATTTTGAATTATATTTACCTCTTAAATGGATACATCCATCGAAATTGCACCGGTCCTCTTACACGAGCCTCATATGGAAGATGGATTGCAAGATGCTCCATACTGTCAAAGAATGAAGGTGGAAAGATTCGCTCTAGCTTACAAATAATTTCTACTATTCTCTTGCCATATTGCCATGTCATTGACCTGAATCACCGGAGCACACAAGGCCCTAAAGAACTCACTAATCTCAACAAGTGGCTCCCAAACTTGTTTCGGTAATAAATCACGAAATGTAATTGGTATAAGGCTTTGCATGAAAATGTGATAGTCGTGACTTTTCATACCGAATAATCGTACCTCTTGTGTATTGAGTGTAATACCCCAAAATTTTATGCTATTTTAGCATTTAAGTAAGGGTTTTTGTGTGAGAAAAATATTGTTTTGGGCTTAATAGCCGAAATGTCCAAACTTGAGGGACTTAAAGAGGGAAAGATTTTGGATAAGGATGACTTCTTTTCTTTTTCTCCTTTTTCTTTCCTTCTTTCTTCTTCTCCAGCCCGATTCTGCTCTTCTTCTCATTTCTTCCCGCTGCAGCCACCCGAAGAAAAAAGAAAGAGAAGCCAGCCATGCCTTGGAAAATTGGTAAGGAAGCTTGGTTTTGGCCTTCTTTTCTTGCTCTAAAACACAGATTGGAACCCAAAAATTCTCCCCCCCTGCAGGAGTTCCCGGATTTGCTCTGTTCTTCCTTCCCTGTCCGCCGGCTGCTCTTGCTTGCGGGTGTGATTTTCAGTCTTTCTTGGTAAGCAATAGCTCGAATTCTCCCTTCTTTAGCTTTGAATTAAGTTGGGCTCCTTTAATTTTGGGTTAAACCGTGAGTCCCCTGCAGAATTTTCCTTCCATGCCGCCGGCTTTTCCCCAAATTGCAGCTCCGGCCTTGCTTGCTGGATTCTGGTATGTGGCAGCCTTTTAAGCTTAAATTGTCCATTTAGTTTGCTGCCTTGTGTGTCTGTGAATTGCTAGAAAAATGGGGGAATTTCGGTAGCTTTAGGACCATGATTTAGCTTAATTCAAGTGGGATTTATATGATTAAGTGTTAATTGATTGATGTGTGATTTTTGGAGAGAAAATCCCGTGAGATTAGTTAGTGTTTTGGCCAATTTGTGGAAGTGGAGTTACTGTTCACGTCGGGCTCACTGTTCACCGGTTACTGTTCACACCCCGAGGGCCAACATTTAACAGGAATTTAAATGATTAGTTTGTGATATAAGAACGATTTTGGAGATATTTGATCATGTGGAGATTGATAGGAATTAGTATCGGGATTAAGAGTGATCTTGATGATTTCAGTTTGAATTTGTGATAGTCTGGTATTAATTCTTGAAATATCTTGATTAGGTTCTTGATCGTCCTGTCAGTTTAGTGCGTGAATTGAGTGCTCGGTTTTATGCGAGTGAGGTAAGTAAATTATGGTAACGCCCTTTGATTTTTAAAAGCATGTTTTGATTAGTTTTTGAAATGGTGGCGGGACTAAACCCGTTTTATGCAAAAGTAAGTATGATTGATTTAAAGTGAGATTTTGATGCTTTTCATTAAATTGAGCATGCCTACTTGAGATTTAATTGATTGTCCTGATGATTTGAAAGTGATTGGTGAATTATGTTCTTCAGTTAAATTCAGTCTGTTTTGTCTCCGATATGGTCATGTTATCCTGTTGCCCGCTAGTGGGAGTGTTAAACGCTAGCACATGTCGACATGTATTTCTGTAGAACCGGTTCGTTTATGTTATCCTGCTAGTGGGAGTTAAACACTAGCAATTCCTATTGCCTGCCAGTGGGAGTGTTAAACACTGGCCGTGACCTATGGAGGAGACGTCTATTTCATGCCCGTACTGTATCTGTTTTCGTGATTGTACTTGTTGGCATGCTTTAAGCTTGATAAGGGGCACTCCATATTTATTTACTGAGTTTATCTCATAGTTTTTCCTTGTTCACCATTTCATGATGTGAAATCGAGGACGGGGAAACCACGGGAAGTGACGAGTTAGAAAGCTAGCCATTTCGGGATTGATATAGATTTTAGAAGTAAATCATGATCTTGTAAACCAGAGTGTATTTGGAGATTTATGTTATCGGAGTAAATTTTAAAGATTTGATCTTCAGATTTCGATGGTATCAGAGTGTGATATGATAAGTTCCGAGCCTTGTGCACTTGTGGGACCCGTCTCATGAGTGCACGGCGTCTGCCACGCCCCCGGATTTGGGTTCTGGGGCGTGATAGATTTAGTGGTATCAGAGCTTAGGTTTGATTAAGATTTAGTGGTATCAAAGCTTAGGTTGAAATTAAGAGTTTTGGATTAAATTAAGTACCTCCAGATTGAGTGGCATCAGAGCAAATTGAGTGATATCCGAGCCTAGGTTTAATTGAATACCTAGGATTTGTTTTGGACTTGGCTAGCCAATGGATTGTAGAATCGTGGTGAGATAAGTGATGGGGTTATATAAGGGACAATTCTGATTCATGTTGCTTAAATCTTCTCATCCATTTCGATGAGATGGTGATCTGATTGTTCTTGTTTCTTGCCTTCATACTCTGTGTGAAGTTGTGAAAGTAATCTTGCCCGTTATGTCCTGAAGACCTTGTTTTGAAACTTGGTCATTTCTGATAGTCTGCACTTGTTTAGACTTGTTGCGTGAATAGAATTTTGTATGCTCTTTTGCCACTATTGTGAAATTTGGGGAGTTGCAAAAATCTTTTGTTATTAATCCTGTTGGTCTCTACCACATAGCTGGTTGAGAAATTTGTTCTGTTTGTCGCATGACCAGTGGAGGATGGGTAAACCCTCTACTTTGCAAGAGATTCAAGGCTATTGTAGCCAATGTTGTGTGTTTTTCTAGATGCGTTTTAGGAGCTGGATTACTTGGTAATTCCATTGCTCCTTATTTTCTGAAAGTCTTATAGTGAAATTTCACTTTTTTCGTTTGGAGCTTCATGATCTTTTCATGTGGCTCATTTTTTTGTATTGGTTAATCAAGAGCAGTGATCATTGAATTGAAATTACCTTGTTTTGTGAAGATTGGCAAGCTGTCATAAAGTTAAACTCTCTATTGTTGCCAATCTCTACATTCTTGACACCTGGAAACTGCTTGAAACTCTTGAAATCCATCTTGAATCTTTCTTGATATTGCTTTGTACTTGTTCTTGAAACTGAAATCCAAAAATGGATAAGGATTATTGAAATCCTCATTATCTGGATACTTGTCTAAAATTAATTCTTGCACTGTTCTTGGAATTTATTTTGAATTGTCCTTGAAAACATTCTTGTTCTGACACTGGTTCTTGTTCAAATTCTGTATACTGCTCTTGCTCAAATCTTGCATATTTTGCTAGTTCTTGTGTCAGTATACTTGATGATCTTCTTGATTTTTGATTTTGTTCATATGGACACCTCTTTAGGAGGGGTGACGATTATCAGAAGATACCTATATGAGGTATTCTAAATTCTTGTCTCTTGCAAGTGTTAATCTCTGTATTCTTGATGCCTTAGCTTTGACTTGACTCTAGAATGATTTGATTGTAAATCTGCTTAGCCTTGCCTCCATGAGCTACGAGGTGAAGGGGTAATCTTTGAAGTACCTAATGCCCTAGAGTTTTGTTGCAAGAGAAATGATTCTTTTATCTGGCTGCTTGGATTTTTGTTTGCCCTTTTAATTAGAAGACATGAATCTTCTAAGCACCTTGATCCCAGCCATTGCTTTGTTCTATTAATTAATTCTAGTACTTGAGGTACTAGATCTTGGCATCCTGGTTATATCTGCTCTTAAATCCATGTTCTGATTGTCATTATTGGAATCTCTTTTGTGGGCCTAATTTTTGGAATTCTATTACTTGTTTCATGGTTAACTTTTGTCTTTCAATTTTGACTGCTTGGTTAAATTTGATCTTGACTCTAGGTGAATGCCATTTTGTTGCTGAATTCTTTGAGGCATTCTACCTTGCACTCTTGTGTTCCGATATTCTTCCAAGCATTCATATTTTCTATTGATTTTATTTTGTTGCAATTCTTGAGATTCTTACATGTCTTTTGATGGTCCTAGCTTTTAACTCTTGTTAATTGTTAAAATTTGTTTCTTGATTCCAGTTGCTTTGTTAAATATGATCTTGGTTCTGGTTAACCTTGTTTTGTGACAGAATTTATAAGGCATCCATGCACTCGTCATTATTCATGATCTATATATCCATTGGATGCTTATCCGTCTTTGATAGAGTTCAAGTTTTGTTGTACTCATCTTTAAATCCGTGCCATTCTTTGTCAACTCGTTTTGTGATGGGTTCGTAGCGTAACCCCACAAGTGTTCTTTTGTAGCCTCGGCAGGATTTATTTCTATTCTTTGTGCTTCCCATGTCACCCCAGCCTCTAGTAGCTTGTTTTATGGTAAATCTTGTTAAGTGATTAATGTCCTGCTTTTCTGATTAGTTGTGATTTGATATCAGAGTGGTGCAGCGGAAGCGTAATAGGCCGTGTTCTGTTCCTAGAAAGTGATGGGGCATTTGTTTTGCCTCGGATTGTGTGAAGCCATTCACCAATCTAGATGGTCCTCAATTTGAGTTTTGGGGACAAAACTCCTTTTTAGGAGGGGTGGATGTAATACCCCAAAATTTTATGCTATTTTAGCATTTAAGTAAGGGTTTTTGTGTGAGAAAAATATTGTTTTGGGCTTAATAGCCGAAATGTCCAAACTTGAGGGACTTAAAGAGGGAAAGATTTTGGATAAGGATGACTTCTTTTCTTTTTCTCCTTTTTCTTTCCTTCTTTCTTCTTCTCCAGCCCGATTCTGCTCTTCTTCTCATTTCTTCCCGCTGCAGCCACCCGAAGAAAAAAGAAAGAGAAGCCAGCCATGCCTTGGAAAATTGGTAAGGAAGCTTGGTTTTGGCCTTCTTTTCTTGCTCTAAAACA